GGGGAGGCCGCGCTCGGCCCGACCCGGCGCCCCTCCGCGCGGGGCCGCGCCTATACATAGTGTACAGGAGACATCGCGTGTATTTTTAACGTCCCCATATTTCTGTGACTAGAAGCGCAACGGACTTCTCTGCTCGCCGTCTTCGAGCTCTCCCGCTGGGGGCACGCGGGGGAGGCGGCGGCCTCGGGAGGCTGGGTTTTCCTGGACGTCCGCGAGTTTGGGAGCAAAAGTGCTTTCGGCCCAGGCGGGAGTCGTGGTCCTGGCCCCTCGACACCCCCGCTCCGCTCTCGCCTCCTCGCCCTTCCCGCGCGCCCCCGGCTTCCGACCCTTCCCGCAAGTTCGTTTTGGAGATGGGGTGAGACCAGCGCCCGGCTTTTCCTGGATCCGCCTCCCAGCGGCTGCGGAGACGCGCGCAGCCGCCTCTCGGCTCCCCGCGAGCAGGAGCCGGGACCGGGGAGGGGCTGCTGGGGGCGGGGGTAGTGAGGGGATGGGGGGCGGAGAGACCGAGGAAGCCCCGCCCCCGTGCCTTCATGGGGGAGCGGGCGTCTCTCCTCGTCGGCTGGTCGCCTGCTCCCCCTATCCCACGGCTCCTCGCCAAAGACTGAAACCGGGGAGCTGGAGGGCGTCCCCTCCCCGGAGTTGCGTCCCTGGGACAGGCGAGGGAGGAGGGGAAGCGATTTGGGTTTAGGGGCCAGACCCACCGGGGAGGCCCCAGCTCTGCTCCTGATGTTCCCTCCCCTGTCCCCACCCGGCAGCTGGCAGCTCCGGCCTCGGGGACCCAGCCGCCTTCTCCCGCGTGCCGGGGCCGGGCCTTGCTGCCCAGCAGCGGCCTCTAGCTGCGTCTCCCAGGCACCCGGGCCTGGGGGAGGGCTGGAGTCGCCATGTGCTTTGTTCTAAGCGCCTCTCTGCCCTCCTCCAACCAGGACCCAAAGCCTTTCTTTGGCTTCTCCAACTCCAGTCCTTGGCGCTTCTGCTCCATGCAGCCTGGTCGGAGGCGCCGTCTATCCCTAGAGAAGGTGCATTGGGCGGGCTCCCTTCCCCCAGGGCACGTCACTAAGGGGGACAGACACTGCATGCTCGTTCCAGCGCCCTCTGGGACCGGGTTCAGTACCTCCAGCTCCAGGTCCCTGACATTTGCACCTAGACATCCTGCCCACCTCCCAGAGCTGGGGCTACTGAGTACTCCTGACCTCACCACCTCCTTCCCTTTGAGCCCAAGGCAGAGAGCTGGAGCTGTTGCCGTCTATAGACTGGGTCAGGTGTGGCTGGAGGTAGGTCTCAGTATCTGCCTGTTAGGCCAAGGCCCTCTGATAAGGGGGCAAGATGGACTCTCCAGAAGGTTGGAAATATTAAGACACCAGGCCCCCCCACCTGACCCCCCTGCATCTTTCAAAAGACCTCCGAGAACCACAGCTGGGTCTAGCCTTCTGGGGGCCTGAGCATCCCCAGGCTAAGCGGCAGCCTGGGCAGAAGGGGAAGGGGCTGTATCAACACCACCAATTAGGGAACCAAAGTTGCACTATCTGGGCCCAGAATGTCTGGTTGGCAAGAGCAAAGTTTCTGTTAAAGAAGACAAACATCCCATAACAAAACCCAAGTTTTCTGTGCTACATGTGCAATATTTGTTATGAATGTTATCACAGGTCATTCATCAAATTATCTTTATAATCATCGTAGCTAGATGTTTCATGTCCATTCAAGTGACTTTTATTCTGAGTGCAATATTTCAATAGCCTCGTAGTGAGAACTAGTGTTGCTTTTGTTTTAGCCGATCTATGTGCAGGGCAATGCAATGAAGTTGAAAACCCTTGTAAATAGGAGAGGTTGCAAACCAAATCAAGATTATTTATTACTATTATTAGGCCTGCCTTTAATTTTCAGTGTTTCAGTATTCCGCATTCCGCCTCAGTACTGATCTTGTGTTCTTTGTGCCAATATGGAAAGGAGCGCGTTGGTTCTTTCCTTTCTTGTTGAATGCTCCTCCGCTCCCATTTAATGCTTTACAGCTTTTACTGTATTTTTTAGACTCCCGTCTGCACAAAATGCAATAAAAATAATTTTATTATACCCTTCACAGCCTGAGGTGTGCTGTATGGACCCTTGAGGGGGAAGGGGCGGAACTCAAGGTGGCTCTTCGGAAGGAGCTCTGCCTCATCACACCCCCACCCACGGTCCCTGGCTGGGCTGCTCCTCAGGGTCTGGTTGCCTGGGACAACCAGGTCAGGTCCGTGCTGGTCCGACCTCGCCCCTTTCCCCAGGCTCCTGGCCCTTAAATGCTCTTCCAGGCTCCCACTTTCTATGACTCTACGGTTCTGCCAACTCCCCACATAGCGGGTAGAACACAGGGTGGCAGCTGAGGCCAAATCAAAGCGGGAGAGCACCCTGCTCCACTGGCCAGCGGCCAGAAACGGCCTCCTCAGAAACGTCCCTTTCCCAGAGTGAGCGGACAAGCCTGCTGCCACACTGAGAGTCCACCACAAACAAGCACGTTTAACACAGCATCATAATTAGCCAGCAGGCTTTTGCTCTGACCTGATGTTAAAGCTTCTGACCGGGGGAGGTGTGGCAGAAGAGGACTAGGGTCAGAGGAGGTTTTCGGGGCTGACCGCAACCACAGATGAGGACAAGAGGGGGCAGGCGTCACGGCAGACGGAAACCAGTCAATGTTCCGTCAGGGGCCCTCACCTTCTGACTGGGGAGGGAATGCCCCTGCAGTTATTCACACCCCAAAAAGACAACACAGCCTTTACTTTTTCATTTTAATAAAAAGTAATCATCTCATCTTATTAACAACACAGAATTCCAAAGAGGAAAAAAACACTATAGAACACAAACAGGTCAGAACATAAAACGCTGCCATCGGGGACCTTGAGTTTTTGAAAGCATTGTTTGCTTAGCCACTGGCAAGGACTCAGCTGAGGTCCCTGCCCTCCCTCATCCCTGCAGGGGACCCTTGAGACTGTGACCCACAGGGCTCTGATGAGCACCATCCCTAGGGAGAGGGCAGCTTCCTTTGGCTCCATAGAGAGCAGCAGCCAGAAGTCCTCCCTCTAATAATTTCACTCTGGCTCAAAAGTTATGAACAACCACCTGTATCAAGGACATGTCCAGCTACCAAAAGTCTGACATCAAAATGGTCCCTACCTCCTGCTGCTCAGAAACAGAAGAGTCCAAATGAAAATAAGAACCTGATTTCTGAGCCAAAAGCTCAAAACAATCACTGAAAAAAAAAAAAAAGGGTGTTCCCTGCCAGAGTCTAGAGTTGCTTTCTCAGAACCTCCATGAAACTAGCACTGGAGAGGGAGAAGCTGACAAAAACGTTAAGGGGGTGAGAGTGGTCAGGGCCCAGATTACAGTTCTTCTTGAACTGCTGGTGACTGGAGCTGTTCAATCCATTGGAGATCCTCCAATGAAATGAAAAGAAAGAGAAAAAAAGAAAGGAAGAAAGAAAGGGAAAGAAAAAAGAAAAAAAAGGAAAGGGGAGGAAGGAAAAGAAAGAAAAAGAGAAAGAAAAAATAAAGAAAAGAAGAAAGAAAAAAAGAAAGAAAGAAAACCCCAAACTAACAACCCTGGATTAGGCAGAAAAGTGCCTGCTTCCCTGGCCGCCATGCACTCTCCTAGACAAACTCCAGAGCAGCTGCTTTATGAATCCTCCGGCAGACCCCATACGCATGGAATGGGGCACGAGGACACGGTGCTTGCCCAGCCCAGGCTGGCTTTCTGCAACCCTAGGAAGCAGCTGCAGACAGGAGCTTGAGCTCTGGTCGGCCTGTGTGAAGCTGAAAAAAACCTTGGTAGGTTCAAAATGAACAAAGGCGGTGGCGACGGACATGAAAATGCTGTTCCAAACTCAGTCGATCGGGGCGTGGCTTCTTCCTTCTCCCCAGCCCCCAAATCCAGCTGACAGAGACCAGAGAAACCCATGAAATATAAACTGAGCCCGGACACCTATACTGCCCAAGTGACCCCAGAGATATTTATTTTCTACAAAACAAAAACCAAAAACAACAAAAAAAGATACACCCCCAAATGCAGTATAAACTCTGACTCTGGAAGGAATAAGCAACAAAGCCTTGGGCAGAAGAGAGAGCAGGTGGTAGAAACATTCGATGTAGACCTGGAGAGGCGCAGAGAACATCCTCCAAATAACTCTATTTGAACGCAGTAGGTGGGAGGAGGCCAGGGGATGAGGGGACTGGGGACAGAGACTTAGCCTCAGTAATGCCTCTGGTAGGATCCCAACGGGGCCGGGGGCCGCCCCACCTGTGCTGTAGTTTGGCTAACCAGGTGGGAGAGAGCAGGGCCACTCTGGATCAGGGTGTCCAGAGCCTTCTGTACACTTGGATTGTCAAAGTTGATACCTGTGGAAGACACGGGCCTCTGGCTAGCCATGTTGCTAGCAGGTGCCAGGCGACTGGAAGGCTGGCCAAAGAGCCCTTGGGAAGGAGCCCCAGGCCTGGGGCCCATGTTCCGAGCAGATCCCGCCTGTCCCAAAATGTTTGGAGGCTGATTGCCAGAGGCCTGTGATCTTTGCTGAGGCTGGCTGTTT